GGGGGGTGGCGGCGACGGGGGGCGCGCGGCTCTGGGCGCCGTGCTTGCACCATGAACTACCAGCAGCAGCTGGCCAACTCGGCTGCCATCCGGGCCGAGATCCAGCGCTTCGAGTCGGTCCATCCCAACATCTACTCCATCTACGAGCTGCTGGAGCGCGTGGAGGAGCCGGTGCTGCAGAACCAGATCCGGGAGCACGTCATCGCCATCGAAGGTGAGGGCCAGACCGCCCCGGGGCTTCTGGAAAGCGCGGGGGAGCGGGCGCCCCTGGCGCGGCGGGGTGTGTGCGCGCGTGTGTGCGTGCGTGTGTACACACGCGGTTGCCCGGCCGAGAGAGCACTGCGGTGCCTCTTGCCCCGCAAGGCCGGCGGTGCAGCCCAGCCTGCCAGGGAAGATGGATCGTCAGTGTTCATTTGATAATGGACAATAGAGTCTCTCCTGTGAGAAAGTGGCACTGTGCCGCTGCATCCTGGGCCGCCCGCATGTCCCGTTCCGGGCCCAGCCGACGCCTGGGGGCAGCTGCCTGGGATGGCGCCACTCGATCCGTGACAGGTTATCAGGCCTGGCCTGAGCGTCTTGCATGGACGTTGAAGATGTGTTTTGAGAAGCGCTGCTGCTGTGGGTGCTGTTCTGGCCAGCCTGCTCAGTTGCTTCATGGCTGCCCTTTTCCCCAGTTCTTGGATACTGGAGAGATATTTGGACCTGGAGCATGTAGGGAGCCGGTGGGACCCAGGCAGCATCATGTCCCAGGGCAGGTCTGCCTGCCCTCGTGCAAACGCTGGGCGTTTTGAACCAAAGTCCTGGGTCAAATTATGACCCTTCTAGGGAGACAGGACTCCTCCACATTCTCTTGCTAAAGGGGACAGACACTTTGATACACCTGCCACTTGGGGGCCACCCATGAGGAGGAGGAAAAGTGGGTGATTCTGCTGCCTGTAAGCCTGTGTGTAGAACACTGTTCTGACCCCCAGTGCCAAGCAGGGCAGTAGCCCTGCAGGAGACGATATCCTGGCTTGTGTTCTCTTTGGACCACTAATGGCTCCCCTGTCTCTGCTACTAGGTGCCTGAACAGTTTCCTTGTTTTGTTTCTCTGGCCCTGCCATCACTTACCTGGGGGGAGCAGGTGGTATGTAAGTGGGTAATGTGGTCTCATAGTCCAGCCGGTGGATTAGCAGCCTGTCCTCTTGAGTTGCTGTTGGCCAGTGACAGTGAAAGGCCTGCAGGTGGCTTGTCCTAGTATAGTACTGTGCCTGCCAAAGGCTGGTGAGCCCTCCGTTGAGGAGCATGGGAGCCTTCCAAGTCCAGCAGGAGTGTGTCCAAAACAGGTGCAGGTACTGCCCTCTTTCCCTCCACATAAGGCCTCAGCCCCCAGGAAAGCTTGGCTCCTGTGCGGTCTGAACTTCTAACCCTGAAGTGTTTGGGTTTAAAACTTGGCTGCTTGGGTGGAGAAGGTGAATGCTGTGTTGCTGATCCCCTTGGCATTTGGCAGCCTCATGTACTTGAACCACATCCCAGGCAGGCTTGGAGACTGACTCAAGATCCACAGGATATATTATAATTCCAGGGGGAGGGTCCCAGCAAGTTCTGTCCTTATGAGGACTGACTCTGAATGCATCTGGGCCCCTTGAGTGTTCATGGCTGCCTGTGGTGACTTCTGATGCCTCCAGACCCATCAAGAGCAATGGCTTCTGTGGGACGTGGAATGTCTTGTGGTGTTGAGGAGGGGTACATACCCCTCTTTGCCCCCCAGTGGATGCTGAGGAGGTATAGCGAATGGGTTCCTCTGAGAGCAATGTCTGGGTCCCTATCGGAAGTCTGAAAGGTGCTCCTGTTTTTTTCTCAGATGACTCTGCTCAGCTCTTCCTGGGCTGCATATACAGAAGTCTGATGAAACCCTCTGAAAGCTGGTGCCAGGGATGGAGTGCACCTGACTGGAGCTCCTTGCTCGGGAGGAGAGGAAGGCCTCCAGCTGGGTGTGACTCATTTCCCGTTCTTAAAGCTGCACTCTGGGGTCTTGGACTCTTAGCGGGAGGATGTGGTTGCATTTCTTTCTTTTTAAAATTGTTCTTCCACAGTGATCCTTTTTTTTTTTTTTTTTGATAGCTGATGCTATCAAGCCTCTTTTTGGCTATAACCTTTGTTCATTTTCAGTACAACTTAAAACTGATGGATGGATGCTCCTGGGGACTTTGATAATGCTTTATTTTTGTTAGAACCAGCAATGCCTGTATGATGCCAAGACTATAGTAAATTCGGTGAGACTGGAGAAGCTTTCGTATCAGCCTGTGTTCTTCCTGCCGTTATCTCCAGTGGTACACTGCTCATTTGTGGAGAACTTGAGCACAGATGATTTGGTATTCACAATGGCTGTCTTAGAGAGGAGGAGGTGGAGGTACGGGAGGGTGGTGACCCTTGAACATTTGAGGGGACTTTCAAAGGCACCTCTGAACTAAGGGGTTGTTTACGCCCCGGGTCTCTGGCTTCTTAAAGCACCATTCTTTCAGGACCTCACCCTGCCTCTTGTAATTAGATCCCTGTTCATTGTTACAATGGAATGGTCTTTCCATGTTAATGTTAAGATATTGGCAGGTCTTACATTGCTCCCTTGATATTTGGCATGGGGAGAAGGTTGCTGAGTTTTGGTAGCATGATGTGCTCGAGTAAGAAGCGAACATTTTTTTTTTTTAATTGAGAATATCACACATGTATGTAATGTGTTTGGAACAACTCTGCCTCCCAGTCACTTCCCAGTTCCCCTCAGAACTTCATGTGCTTTCCTCACTCTCTTTTTAAAACACAGTCCATTTAGTGCTGTCTGTATGTGCACGGGTGTAGGACCAAATGCTGAAGCATGGGTTGCTTTTTTAGGGGGCACATCCCTGAAGAAAATGAAGTCATTAAGTGCCAGAGGCTCTTCAGCTAGGGGTGGGACTTCATGAACCCCTCCCCATCCATGCCGGGAGTTTGGCAGGCCTGGTGTTCTGTGTGCTGTCACAGCTGCCGATTAATTGTTCATGGGCACAGTGCTGTCATGTCCAGCAGATACTGTTTGACTGCAGACATCCACTCCAATCTTTCTGACCCCTCTTCTGCAGTGATTCCTGAGCCTTTCCGGGAGGGAGGGAGGAAGGTAGAGAGAGAGAGAGTTTCGTAGGGATGTACCATTTGGAGTTAAACACTCCCAGTCTTGTATTCTCAGCATATTGACCAATCGCAGGTCTCTAGTAATCTCCATCTACTGCAAAAAGAAGCTTTTCTGATGTTGAGAGATGCACTAATCTGTGGGTATACAGATTAATTTAGGGAGCAGTTTATTGCTTTGTCCATTTAGCAGAATAATAGTATTAGGTTCTCCCTACTATAGGGTCTATAACCTAGCAGGTCATGAGTTTTTGGCCCACGTCACAATACCAGGCATATAGTGTATCTCTTGGGGGATTTAAATCCAACCAGAAACTGGCTGGTTACTCCTATAGCATTTGTGCCACTAATGCATATCTTGCTATATGCCAGTGGATATATCTTGCCAGGCCAGTCACTGTTGTAGCTTGTGGGATTCATAGCTGTCTAAATTTGTCAAATACTAGCCAGTGAGGATGCAACTCCAAGGTCAGTACCAGCTTGATTTTTTTTTCATGTCCGATGACTCAAATGTATGGTGTCTTTAGCAACAGGGTCTTACTTCAGATTCTAGACGTTAACTAAGAGTGATGGTAGTAGCCTGTGAAGAGGGTCGGTTTCAGGGGTGTCTGGTTTCCCACTGATCAGTGACTCTTGGGGGGTTGCTGAAGAAATGGATCAGTAGTCAAGAGCACTGCTGCTCTTCCATAAGATCTAAGTTCAGTTTCCAGTACCCATGTCACATTGCTTCCTTTAATTCCAGCTCCAAGGCGATCTGATACCATCTTTTGGCCTCTACAGGTATATGCAGACTCAGGCATAGACATAGACACAGACAGACAGACAGACAGACAGACAGACAGACAGACAGACAGACACACACACACACACACACATACACACAGTAAAATCTTTAAAGAAAAGGTTAAGCAAAAACACATTTGGATACCTGTGTCTTCACTGATACAGAGCTGGGACGGTATTGCCTTGAGAGTACAAGATGAAGAAACCATGCCTCGGTGCCGGACCACCACAGTACCTGATGTGAAACCCCATCCCTGTCAGAGGCCGACCCAGATCTCCTTGTGACTGGGAATGAGCACGAGAGATAGCAAAATGTGGATCTTTCAGGAAAGAATATGCATATCATCAAAATATTTAAAAAATCACTTGCCTCACAAAATCAAACCTGTCATTTCCAAAACTATCTAATCAGACCTTTCTCCCATCTGTGGCCCCCTTACCAAGGCCTTTGGATTGTTGTAACAGGAACCCTTTTCAGTTTAGAAGGACTTTTGAAGATACAGTTTCTGTCTTGACATTGCACGCCAGCATTTGGCTCTGTTATAGTGTGTTTAAAACCTCCCTGTTCTCTGGCATCATCATGAATTTTTGCTCTTGGGGCGAGGAATGACCTTGGCAAAGAGGAGGATGTTTTGGTTGCTGCTCATGTCACAGCGAGTTGATTTTGGCCTCAGTGGAAGATCTCTTGAAGATGGACAAGATATATTTTATTTAGTTGCAAGAAAGCCCACTGAAATTCCCAAATGACAGTGTGTTGAGCATACTGTCTGTAGGCCTGGAATACATGTGATTTCCATCCTCAACTTTGTTTAAAAATGTTACCTTGTTTTTTTGTTTTTAAAACTGTTTTCCTTAGTCATTATTTCTTACTCTGAGAGTCTTCTTGACTACTGAATCTCTGGGATATAAGGAGAATTAATGATTAGTTTCACATTGAGCCCAGCAGATTTCTGGGGTATGCTGCAGGGGCATGGTCCCCTGTGGGATGTAGCATGTACCATCCCATGCCCAGAAGTGAGTCTGGCACCTGCCTCACCTCTAGTCGAGCCTCCTGTGTAAGCTTCCCCTCTGGCTCATCAAAAGACTGTCTGGGGTGGATGGATTGAAGCCCACCAGCCAACTGCCTCTCTTGTTAAATAAAGCTTGTAGTTCTTTCAAGGCTAACGCCTCTGTTAGCAGTCGCACAGTAATTCAGCTTGCCAGCCGCAGAGCCAGGACCCATGTGCCTGCCTGGTGCCTGCCTGGTGCTCACTCATTCACCCCAGGAGCAGGCTTCCCAGCTTCCCAGGC